CCCATAACTGTCTGCAACAGTTTATAAGCCCGTGGCAGACAACCTGATGCCATCATAATCATATTCTCAGTGACTATCCCTGTGGGTAAAGGCACAGTATGCAAAATGCAGTGCATTATTATAACGGGTTCACTGCTGATTTTAGATGCTAACTACTGGGCTCTGAACTTAGAAAGGTCTCAGCAGAAGCTATTCTCAGAGAGGGGCATCAGACACGCCCACCATTACTGAGAGTGGGTGGGTTCTTTTCTTTTCGGGATCTATAGTACTGATGAATGATCTTGGATTGACAGCCCTGGCGCCTGAAGTCTTCTATAGCAAGGGAAGTGGCAGCATGAACGTCTTCCAAAGTAACTTTCTAATGTGGTTAAGCTTTGACTTGGAGGTACCATCTCTGGACACTGCCTGACTCAGGGGTGGATGAAGATAGAGTCCGTGGGAGCTCGAGACAACAATGCAAAACTGTCTGTCTTCGGACAGGAGGACCTTGAAGGAGACAATCAAGGAGCTCATCTAGCAGGGTTAGGGAGAAAATGAATTGAGAGGAAGATACTGCCCAGGATTGGGAACAGGGAGGAAGAATCCATTTGGAGGAAGCTAGGAAAGGAAGATTTAGTTGTCCAGAGGACAGCATCTATAGGAGACTGATCAATTTTTGGGATGCAGGCAGGAATTCCTGAAGTTTTGGTTAGTGTGGTCCCCATGTAGGGACATGTTACCAGAAGGGAGGTGCCTCCCATTTCTGGACACAATTTGTGCCACTATTGAACTGCCGGGGTGAGTACGAGCACATGTGCCTCCACCTACTGCACCTGACTGTGGACACAAAGAGAGTAATCAGAGGTGCGAGCACTCAGATTTGAACCCCGGCTTGAAACTTGGATTTCTAAAAGCTTGGCCTATAACATCCACTTCAGAGACATGTCACCATTTCCCTGGGGACGGAAGCAACAAAGACGGCTGGAGGTAACAATAACAAAGGAGCTGCAATCCAGCTAGGGTCACCAGATATCCCGATAAAATTGGGACTGTCCCGATATTTAACCCTTTGTCCCACGTCCCGATCAATGTACAATTGGGATGCCATTTTTCCCGATATTCAGGTAAGGAGGCGAGCGGGAGGAAGGCACTGACCCCATGGGTGCTCCAGAGCTGGAGCACCCACAGGGAAAAATTTCAGCCAAGCTCCCCCCTCCTCGCCTCCTTATTCCCTCCTCCCCCCGTCCCGCTGCCTAACAGCTGTTTGGCGGCACTTAGCACTTTCCGTGAGGAACGGGTATGCAGTACTCTCAGGGGAGGAGGTGGAGAAGAGGCAGGGCAGGGGCAGAGATTTGGGGGAAGGGGGTGGACTGGGGGTGAGGCGAGGGTGGTGCAGGGGTGGGAAGAGGCGGGGGGGTGGGCAAGCACCTACCCGGCAGAGGGGAAGTCGGCACCATAGGGGTGAGTGGTGGGCGGGGGTGTGAAGAGGCAAGCAGCGGGCGGGCGAGCGAGCAGGGAGGGAAGCGAGCGGTGGGTGGGGGACTGAAGAGGGATGCAGCAAGCCAGCAGCAGGCTGGGGGATGAGGAAGGGCACAGGGGGAAGGGGAGTAGGGAGGGGGTGGGACCTGGGGCAGAGCCTGGGAGGAGTGGGGGTGGACTGTGGGTGGGGCTAATGGTACCCCAATGTGTCCTGATATTTTAGTGTGGTGATCTGGTCACCCTAACCCAGACCATACTTAAATACACAGTGTCAATGGCAAAACTCCCATGGACTTCAATGGGGCCAGGATTTTACCCCAGAGTAACCAGCATCTCCAAACACCAGGAGAGAAAAATCTCGTTGGGCCCTTTCCCCATCTGCTTGGTGACAGGAGAAGCAGTCTGTTTCCCTCTGAGCTGCCTGTTAGCAAACTGGCTCCGATCATCCTCTCTGTTCTGTTTCCCTCTTAGACGTTCCTCTTAATTTTGGTCTGTTCATTATTTCAGGGTGTTTCTTATGGTCCTAAATCAGAGGATCCAGGCTCAGAAGAAAGCCATTGCCCACCACTGTTTCATGTAATTAAAAATAATAAATAAACTCCTGCCCTACTTTAACAGCCGCCGAGTAATAAAACTCAAATCCCCAAAGCAGCATCATTCTGTCATCCTCTCTCCCAACAATTACAGAGCAGTGGGATGCCCGCCAGGGAAACATCAATAAAATGCAGCTACAGGAAGAAACAGAAGCCAGTTTACACTGGGTTAAATTCCTGCTGGGGCAGAGAAGCAGCAGAAGTCCCACATATTGCATTTAGTTCACCATAACCAGAGAGTTATGCTTTCTTACTTATTTTTCCATTTCTCCTTTTCTTTGTTCTTCTCTTTTGCTCCATCTCCCTGTTCCATCCTCTCCCTGTATCTGTATTTCCTTTCTTTCCATTCTCTCTCCAGCACTTGCATTTTCCCTTTCATGTACCTCTTGTTTTCCCTTCCTCACCACCCACTTTTTTTTTCCATGAGAAAAAACACTATTCTCTCCTAGTATCAGAGGGTTAGCCGTGTTAGTCTGGATCTGTAAAAAGCGACAAAGAGTCCTGTGGCACCTTATAGACTAACAGAAGTATTGGAGCATAAGCTTTCATGGGTGAATACCCACTTCGTCAAAGAAATAATGATGGGGAGACGAAGTGGGTATTCACCCACGAAAGCTTATGCTCCAATACTTCTGTTAGTCTATAAGGTGCCACAGGACTCTTTGTCACTTTTTATTCTCTCCTAGTTTCCCTTTCTAAAAGAAATCCCACCACCACCACGTCTCCTTCCCTTTTTATCTGCAGGTGTTACTAACACCAAGTGGTCAAAAATCATGAGTCAAACCCCATAAAATCATGACTGGCATAAAAATCATGAGATTTTATAAAAACCCAACACATTTTGGGGTTCCTTTTATTAGCCTTCTGGTTTTTAAGTCTTCCCTTGGTCACATTTTAAAGTTTTTTCTTTGCAACCAGAAACCTACTGTATTTTCGAATGAAAGCTGAATTTCTCTCCTATTCACATGACTCCAGGGGCAGGGGTTTAAGAAAACCATCAATAGTAATGAGATTCATGATAGAATCTGAAGAGCTGGCAACGCTGTCTCATTCCAATTCACCCTGCACTCCTTCACGTGCCCCAGGCCCTGCCCCATGTCCCATGGCTCCTCCCACTGTCCTGTTCTCTAGCCTCCTTGTCTTTCCATTGCTCCATGCTCACTCCTCGTTTGCGCTCCTTGCATTTTTCCTTCCTTCCCCCGGCTCCTCCGTTCTGCCCTCTCATTTCCCGTTCTCTCCTGCTTCCCCATGTGTCAGGGTGCCCGGCACTGTTTGCTCAGCCCTCTCACTCTCTTCTCTTTCCCCACTGTATCTCCTTCCCTCCCTCTCCCCATCATTATTTCTTTCACCCTCTCCCCAAGGTCTTCCCTACCAAATCTCCCCTGGTACTCCCCTCCCTTGTCCCCCTACACCTGCTTCCTCACCCTTCAAGGTCCCCCTGCCCCACAGTCTCCCACTCTGAAGTCCTCCCTGTCCCTCCATTTCCCCCTCATCTCCCCTCTCCAAAATCCCCCCAACAAAGCCCACTCCACTGTTTAAGGCCTTCCTGTCCACCTCCCACCCCTGACTCTCATTCTTTCTCCTCCTCATCTGGAGAGAAGAAGAGCTGGAGGACATGTGGCCGGGCGACTGGCTGGCAGTGGGTTCTCATCCACTCTTAGCTGCCAGGGGATGGGGGTTGGGCAGGGGGATAGAGTGGCCCCTAGAGGCAGGGTGCTGCACTGCAGCTGCCTCCTGCCTGCCTGCACCTGTTTGGCTTGACAGAGCTGAGCCTGGGATATTCAGAGTGGCTGAAGGGAGCCTGACACCCAAATGCCATTAAAGTGAGTGAAAGCTGGGCTGCTCCTAACTCCCTTGGACCCTTCTGTCTATGTTTTTTAAAACTGGCCCGCCCACCTGGAGAAACGCTCCCTCCTCCTGCAGCCGTGGCTTTCAGCCGCTGCTGGCATAGTCCATGTGCAAACTGCTGCTCTAGCAGTGAAAGGCTCTGTACCCCACTCGGGCCACCCAGTGCTCTCTGACCTGATGACTCTGGGAGTGGAATACCTCGGTGGACTGTGCTAGAGAGCGGAAATGTCCCTCCCCACCCCAATGTCTCCATGCCATTATCAGGAATGATTCCCATGTCCCCCCCCCCCCCCCCCCCGGCCTGCCCTCTTTAATGCAGGCCCCACAGCACTTGATGCATCTCTGGCTGCTGGCAGGCACTGTCACAAAGACTGCACCAGGTGCCTGATCTGGGCAAAGATGAAAGACCTAGGACAACCACTCGGCAGAACAATGGCTTGTTTCCCTTTCATCTCCAGATGGGGCTTTTCAAGGTGTGGAAGCAGGGCTGAAAAGCAGCCGCTAAAAAGAACAGGGAGATTTGCTTAAAGCAATTATGCGACTTGAAAGTAAGTTGCCGGGGGAGGCCGTGGAGGGAAGGTTCATTAACATGAGAGCTGGGTATCAAAAGCGAGCGAAGCTTTATGGATCCAGCAGTGCGGGATGGAAACCTTTGAATTTGCCAGCTGTTTTCTTTTGACTCGCACTGTGTCAAAGCTGAATAGATCATTTATTCCCTCTCTCTGGGGGCCCGGTGAAGACTCCCATAAAGCCGTTGCTTCCCCCTTGTATCGTCTGGCCAAACCTGGGCTATGCCAGCAAGCATCCTCGGCCCACCATCCCTTGTGTTCGCTGTAGCCTACCATGGAGGTTGAGCTGCTTCGGGTACAAGCCTGGGGTTCAGAGTAGCCCAGCTCCATGGTGGACTGCAGCAGGAAGAACTGAATGGGTAGTGGGCAGCATTAGGGCCTGGCACTGAGATTTATGATACAGGCCGAGAGGGGAAGCTTTCGGAGAGTCCAGCCAGAGGAGTGTGACATATCAGCCCTGGTTGGGATCCCCTGCTGAAAAGCCAGCCCCCCTGCTGTCTCACTCTGGGGAGGTGACATCCTGAAGACCTACCTATACAAGGCGGAGGTTGCTCTCTTCAGCCCTTTGGGTCTGTTGGGTTTAGGTTCTCCAGCCATGTTGATATCTGCAATGAATCAAACCCTTGAATTAATGTCAGCATATAAAACTCATCTCACACAGCGCTGGCTCTCTGAGTACATGCAGCCGTCTGGTTGACACAGATGCAATCCCCACATCATATGGTTCAATTACCTGCCCATACAGACTCCTAGCAGGGAGCTGTGTATTGTGCTAATCAAACAGTTTTGCTACGCTTCTGCGGCCTCTGCTAGCACTTTGAGACTCCTGCTGGGCTTTGTCCACATGTCCAAAGCAGCCGCTCTCTCCACAAGCCTCTTTTCCCTTACCTAAGGCAGCTGGCAAACAATCAGCTTCTAATCAGAGAACCCACTGCACACATGCTAATCCAGGCACCTAAAGCCCCTTGCAGCTCATGCCTTTCTAGGATTGGCTTCCAAGGAGAATTCAGTGCTCTCTTTATGAAACACGGTGAATGTGTAAGCCCCTCGCCACTGCTGGTTGATAGATGCAATTTATTTCTCTTCCTCCAAGTGTAAAATTAATACTAAATATAGGACACAAAGGAAAGGTCTGAAGTCCCCTTTGAGGTCTCCTCTGATTGGTCTGTTCTAAAAGCTGCACAGGGTGCAGAAGCATGTCTGCAGTCACCCCAATTGATCTCAGAAGCAGGTTTCATTCCAGCGACGGTGAGAATGAAATTTTCTGATTGGCCGAGGAAATCTCTGTCCTGAACCTCCACGCTGAATGAGCGCATTGGACGTGAGAATAGAGAGATATGGCCAATTTCATGATGCCTGCGCAAAGTCTGAGCAAACTAACTCTGGGCATGGACACAAAACTGCACAGAAACAATCCATCAGAGAGGTGACATATTGCACTGTCCTACTTTCCCAGCTTGGGAGTGAGCAATTCTCTTCTGCCTGGCAGAGCTTCCCAGGACCCCCCCCAATTCTTTATGACTTGTACCCACAAGAACCAGTGTGCTGCCAGCCAGTCTCCTCCTTTGAATCCAGGGAATGCAGCCAGAAAGCAGGGTGATCAATGTGCTCATGCTTGGAGGGGGGAGGGGACGGAGGGAGGGAGCACACACAGCATGTGTAGCATTCCCAGGAGAGTGGTGCTAAGTTTGCTGGGTTTGATTCACACTGGGGTTCTACTATTATTATTATTATTGCTTATCTTTATTACCATCGCTGCCGGGAAACCCCATCCTGGGCCAGCACCCCATTGTGCTAGGCGCTGTACAAACACAGGTCTGTACCCCAAAGATTTTACAATTTGTGTACAAGACAAGATGGTGGAAGTGAAATTGGCTAAGAGGAGTCTACCCTGAACAATTCCTCCTCTAATTCTCCTTGCCGCTTACACATTCAATTCTTGTGGACATTTCTTGAGTCATCCCTTCGTCATCCTTAGGACACACTGCCAACAAAACTGCTGCGCTTTTAAGTTCTCTGTGGGTACGTCTACACTGCAAAAAAAACCCTGTGCCCATGAGTGACAGAGCCCAGGTCAACTGACTCGGGCTCGCAGGGCTTGTACTATGAGGCTAAAAATAGTAGTGTAGACATTTCTACTCAGGCTGGAGCCTGGGCTCTGAGACTCACCCCTTGCCGGATTTCAGAGCCTGGGTGGGACCTTCTACACTGCTATTTTTAGCTCGGTAGTGCAAGCCCCAGTCAGTTGACCCAGGCTCTGAGACTTGCTGCTGGGTTTTGTTTTGTTTTGCAGTGTAGATGTGCCCTGTGTGGCGTATGGTATAGCAAAGGTCTCCCAGGGGCTCACAAGGGTACAGCTGAGCCTGGAGACCTCGTCTGTGAATGATGAATAGCCGCCACATTTTGTGCAGCTTCACACATGCCATTTATGCAAATGATTGAATGGGCTAATTTGGGTATTTGCAGACAATCTACCTATATTCAGAAACTTCATCTTATGGTCAACACACCCTGCCCCAAGTAATGACGGTAACAGGATGGGGAGCTGCACAAAACTTGGCAGCTGTGGTACAGCAGGTGGAAGGATGTGTGGCTGGATGGCTTGGGGGGAGGTGCTGAACAGTGCCTGGAGGCAGCCTGGGAGTAGCTGGGCAGGTGGGGGAGGCTGTGGGGGTGGCTGAATACTGGGACACCTGCAGCGAGGCCGTAACTAGGTATTTTTGCTCCCGAGGCAAGAATATAAAATTGCGCCCTCCCCCAGGGCCGGCTCTTCGGCGGCAATTCAGCGGCGGGTCCCTCAGTCCCTCTCGGAGGGAAGGGCCTGCCGCCGAATTGCCGCCGAAGAATGAATGAAGGGGCGGTGGTAGAGCCTGTGATTTTGGGGGGTCAACTCATGATTTTTGACTGCTTGGGCTGGTAATGTTGCTTCCAAGATGGTCTTTGGTTCCAGTCCAGTTCCAATCCAGAGAGGGACTCACAGGTTAAGAGAGGAGGGAGCTGCTGGATATCAGCAGTGGCCACTAGGGATCAGCATGTGTCCTGAGAATGCTGGGAGTTCAGGTTTGCAGGGCAGGATCAGGGGTGGCAGGTTTGTAGAAATTTTGGTGGTGCCCAGAACCCGCCCCCACCCAAACTCTGTCCCCCCACCTGCCCAAGGCTCTGGGAGGGAGTTTGGGTGAGGGAGGAGGTCTGGGGTACAGGCCCTGGGATTGGGGTGCAGGCTCTGGGAGGGAGTTTGGGGATGGGAGGGGTGCAGAGGGATGTGGTGCAGGGGTGAGGGCTGTGGCTGCAGATGAGGAGGTTGGAGTGTGGGAGGGGCTCAGGGCGAGAGTTGGGGTGAGGGCTCTGTCTGGGGCTGGGAATGGGAGGTTTGGGGTGTGGGAGGGGCTCAGGGCTGGGGCAGAGGGTTGGGGTGTGGGGGAATGAGGACTCTGGCTGGGACTGGGGATAAGGTGTTTGGGGTGCTGGAGGGGCTCAGGGCTTGGGCAGAGGGTTGAGGGTGTGGTGGGTGGGTGAAAGCTCTGACTGGGGGTGTGGGCTCTGGGGTGGGGCAGGGCTGGGGATGAGTTTGGGGTGCAGGCAGGCTGCTCCGGGACAGGGGCCAGAGAGGAGGACTCCCCCCAGCCCTTTCTCTGCCAGCAGCAGCAAGCTCTGGGGGAGGAGCTCCCCTTTCCTGCCCCCCCAGCAGCACACTCACCCCCACCACTGTCACTGCATGTGCTCTTAGGGCCCCTCTCAGGTCCAGGAATCTCCCTCGCCTCCCCCATGGTGGGTGCCGGGGGGCGCTGCATGCGCCTCCTCCCCTGCTGTTGCCCCGACTGTAGCCCCACTGGGGGTGAGGGATGGGGCTGCCTCCTTGCCCATCATGGGGCAGGAGCGGTGACTGCGGGCGGGGTGGCCCCCTGTGCTGCTGGAGGGTTCCATTGAAAAATGAAAGGGTCTGAGAGGGAAGGGCAGGCTCAGAGTCAGTCTGCCCTGGCAGTGAGTTGGGGGGGACTAGGACCCTGCGGCAGCAGTTGCTGCAGGGAGGCAGCATGGAGCTGCTCTGCTCCCGGAAGGGGGGTGGGAAGCAAGTCAGGGCCGGGGGACACTCGAGAGGGAGGCAGGTGGGGCCGGGGGGAGATAACCCCGGTTATAAATATCTCTGTGTCTGCCAGCGGCTTTTTTTTTTCTCCACCACTTTTTGCGCCCCTCAGCTTTGTGCGCCTGAGGCAAGTGCCTCACTCGCCTTGCCCTTGTTATGGCACTGGGTGGGGCAGCGGTGGGTGCTGGGCGGCTGGGGGATAGCTCAGTGCTGGGTGGGCGAGTCTGAGGCGGAAGCTGGGGGATGGCTGGGAGGTAGCGGAATGAATGAACCCTGGGGCATCTCTGGTGCACGGTGGGTAGCTGCAGATGCTGGTAAGTTGGAGCTGGGTGTCAGGCTGGCTGTGGGTGCTGGGTTGGAGAGCGTGGGAGGTAGCTGAGTGGGTGGTTGCTGGGGCATTGCGGGTGGGGGTGGGGTGCTTCGGAGTACTGGGGTACCTGGAAGTACTGGGTGTGTGGGTGATGGAGTAGATGGGAATGGCAGAGTAGCTGGAGCTGCAGGGGTAGCCGTAGGGGTGAAAATATGCTGGCTGCCTTCTCAGGAGTGAGTACTGTGGTGCCTGGGGCATGTTTGCTGGTGCTTTGTGATGGGGGAACTGATGCAGCTTGTCGGCAGGGTGAGGTTGCCTAGGGCCAGTATTGGGTCCCTTACTTTGTACTGCTGTCTCCTCTCACCCCCTTTTTCCTGGTGGTGATCCAGCAGAGTGAGGAAGGGAGAGGGGAAGCAGACAGCTCATATGACTGCAAGGAGCCTTCCCCCAGCAAAGCTGGAAGCATGAGGAGCCACTGAGCTGTGGGAACATGATGGACTGGCTGCCACATGCATGAGTGTCACTGGAGCAGCCCGGCTGATGCCAGCGAGGTTTGGCAGGAAACGAAATCTTGAAACATTTGTGTCTTTAGACTAAATTTGTCAGGACCAAGTTAAATTTCTATTCTTATTTTTCTCCATTATTTATATAGCGCAAAAAGTGTACTAGGTACTGTACGGACAAATAAGGATACACGGCCCCGGCCCGCGGAACTTACTGCCCAAATAAAGAGCTTACAGTGACGCGCGAGTAGCTGAATTTCAAGTTAACTTGTACATGTAATCATTTTCAGGAGCTCCAGGCAAGCTGCAGTGCTAATAAACCCAGAAGAAGCAGTGCCTAGGCTATACATACAAAATATGGCTGCACAAGAACATATGAGGGTCACGGACAGAGAACCAAATGCAAAATGGGGTTGTCCATACATGTATGCCCTAAATCTGCACTCTTGAGAACTTGGAGGGTGGGCATTCTGGCTGGTGGGCTCTCACTGGCCAACAGGCTTTCGATGGCATGTGTCCAAACCCTTTGTTTGGTGGCCTTCAGGGTGCTCATATCCAGATGGGCCAGACACTCAATTCCTATTGAATTTAAGGCCTGTAATACTTCACAGCATTGGGTTTAGAGTACAGTGCCAGGCTCATCTACTCAATGAAGCATTTGTCTGACCTTGGGCTAAGGTTATGGAGGTTTGTTTTGTCTTGTGGGGT